GCCTGGCACAAACCACATGTTTTGGACAGCTGTGAAGTGACAGAATGTCCCAGCATCATGGTTCTTATATTGCCAGATTCCAGAGAGTCTCCCCTCTTCATATATGGCAGAATATGTCAACTTCCAACTTGCTATGGTGAGATACATGTAAAAATGTAAGAATTTAGTCACACGGATTTGTTTTTTTCATTGATATAAAAATTAATATAAAATACAGGCACATAGAAGGACATGGAATGATGGCAAATCTGGTTAGCCCAGATTGTCCTGAAAAAAAAACAAGATATAGCATGTGTATGTAGCCTTTATAATGACTGTGATATGAACTTAAAAGTAAAGGCAGTAAAAAATACCCCCAAAACACCTAGGGCCCATAGGGTTAATAAAGATAGAAAATAACAGTGGACCCAAAACGGACCCCTAGGGTACACCATTAAAAACACTTAACCAAGAGAGCCCATCAAACTGGACCCATTGAGATCTTTCAGAGAGGTAGTTCACAAACCATCCGACTGCCTGGTCAGACACACCAATATTGTTCACTAACAAGTTTTTCAAGGATCTTAGCCAGAACTGACAATTTAGAAATGGGCCTATAATTAGTTAATACAATGCTAATGAAAATTTAATTTATTATGACTGCTAATGTTATATAATCATAGTTCTATATAGTATTATTTAGTGTTATGTTGTTTTTTATGCAGTGTGTTGAAAAATGCTGTTATATTAGCCTATATTGTGTTTTACACTATGAAATTTTGTATATTATTTTGTGTTGTCTGATCAAACACCATCATGTTATATTATATCAAGTTATATTTACTTATGTAATATCATTACATCATTACTCAAAACAATGTAATATATGAAAACAGTGAAATAACACACACACACATACATATATATATATGTATATATATATATGTATGTGTATATATATATATATATATATATTTATATAGTGCCATATTCACTTATGTAAATGTGTGTTATGTTATATTGTGTTTCTAAACGTGTAATATTATTTTGAGTTATTTACCAGACACCATGCTGTTGTATTTTGTTACATTGGCTTATGTTATTTTGTGTACTGTTACTTTATTTTGCATCATGTTATGTAATATGTTATTTTGTATATTGTCTTATATTCACTAATTTAAATCTTTTTTTTATTTTTTATCATGCACTATTTTGTTATATTGTTTTTGATTAACTGACATCACATTGTTCTGTGTTATTTGATCACACATCACTTTATGTTGTATTGAGTTATATCAACGTTTTATTTTTAATTTTATTACATTTTTATTTATTTCGCATTTTTTTTATCTTTTTGTGGGGGCGCCATGGTGGTGCAGTGGTTAGCCTTGTTGCCTCACAGCAAGAGGGTGGGGGGTCTGAACCCAAGGGTCGGGGAGCCCTTCTGTGTGGTGTTTGCATGTTCTCCCTGTGTCAGTGTGAGTTTCCTCCAGGTGCTCCAGCTTCCTCCCACAGTCCAAAGACATGCAGGTTAATTGGTGACTCTAAATTGTCCGTAGGTGTGAATGTGAGTGTGAATGGTTGTTTGTCTCTATGTGTCAGCCCTGTGATAGTCTGCTGACCTGTCCAGGGTGAACCCTGCCTCTCACCCAGTGTCAGCTGGGATGTCCTGGGAACATTTTACACGTTATTTTGTCTTGTTACGTAATATTGTGTTATGTTAACTCACGTATATTATATTTATGTTGTGTCATGTAATATTATGTTATGTTGTAGCGTCTTTGTGCCATCAAAATGAATCCATTTAATATAGTATGGAGACTTTCCCTGGAGACCCCACATTAACCAAACTCTAATGGTTCTCCACAGAGAGTCGCCTGGTCAAGAGATCGACAGCTTGTCCCTGGGGCTGGTCTTTGTTAGGTGGTCGCTGTTACCGCTACGTTCCAACACTTATGACCTGGGCTAGAGCTGAGGTAATATTGGTGACTTTGACTCAGGAGGCTTCTACAACAAGCTCATTTTGTTTGCATACACATGGACATTTGGTGACCTGGGGTCTTAATTCTTACTTTCCTTGACAACTCCTCTCTGTCCATCTGTCTCTCTGTTTGTCTCCACTGCAGAGAAACTGTCTGTCCATGGGTGGAAACCTTGCGTCTGTTCACAACATCCAGGAGTACTTTAATATTCAGAGGCTGATTTCTCAAGTCACTTATCACTCCCACCCGGCATGGATTGGAGGCTCTGATGCACAAGAGGTATTTTCATTGCACAACTATG